CATTTTATCTTTAGTGGAGTCAGGGAACCAGACTTACTAAACAGTTGTGCTTTTTTTTCTTGGTTTTTCAAGCATTTTCGAACACAAAACTTCAAACATGTCAGTTAAACAATATTTGATCTATTATACTAACCCCTCAAATAGTTCATTTCTGGAAATTACGGCAAAAGCCAATGATGTACATTCCCTTTAAACATTTCAACTTGTAAACGGAGTGATACATGTATATCATCCTTAACATGTAGATTTGATCTATGTACAGTTTCACTTCCTTGCAATGCAGTACAGTGCAACATTAGACACAGCACTTTTTGGCTGTGGTCAGTGAGAATAATACCGGTACCCAATTTCAGATCATAATTTATTTTAACCCTCTTTATCATGTGCAGATAATTTTGAGGCTTTTAATAATTTTCCTGGCATAACTCAGCTTCCAGAAAGAAACAATTTTAGTACAACATCACATAGGATAAAGTCCTATAATTTACAATACGCGTAGGTGGACTGTAAATATACTTAAAATTTGTAAGTGGTTCCACAAACATACGTGTGCACGTGCTTGTGTTGTTCAATGAAGGCACAGTCTCTGCATGTTCTATTTTTTAACGACAATGCCAATTCATTGTGTGCGCGTCTGCCCCTGACCTTCACGTAGCAAATTGCCATTGCCAGCTCATAATTTTGTGTGTGTGTTTGCGCAACGTGCCCGTCGTGCCATGAAAACCATATTTGCCGCCAGGTATTGATTTGTTTGGCCGTTGCCATGGCTTCGATAAAGTCAGCCACGCATAGTCAAGTCGGCCCCGTTATATTCCAGCAAGGGCTGGTTGGAGCTCTGTGTGCAAATGAAAGTATGGCCAGTGGTGTGGATCAAGAGCCATGCAGTGTTCATGGTGATAAGCCTTTGTGCAATTAAATTGGTTCATTGTAATCAATTCAAGTGCAGCTAGTTTATCGTGACGGTCTGCGCTGGTGGAAGTGTGTTAAAATACAAGTGTAGGTCAGCTTCATTTTGTGTGTATGGAACAGTACTATGTACTTTGACTGGAACAGGTAGGCCTATTACAGTAATCTTACATCAAGATAACGTTTAGCAATTACTCTGTGATAGGCTGGGCAATTCCGTAAATTTTGGACATACATGTAGGGCCTACATGTCACTTGAACACTTCAATGAGCTACTGTTTAATAGAAAAGTGAACGTGATACCGGTACATGTACAGTAACAGCACTAAAGTGACATCTAATGAGTAGAAAACAATTACAGACGAAACTTTTAAAGTACCACCACCTTAACGACCTTGTACATCATGTGTTCAGATGAACAAAGAATTAGATTTTAGGATATTGCCCTTTTGCCGGCTGCCTTTTTTTTCTGGTCATATTGCCATTCGTATCTATCTGTCTATAGAGCAATTCATGTATGTACAATAACGTAAAGGCAAATGAAAAAAAATATGTGAAGCTTTAATCTATCAACAAGTGCAGTTCTTGAAAAAGAATTGAAAATGATTGATTTATGAGCACCTGTTTTTGAGAATATTTTTGAAGTTGTCATGAATACATACCGGTACCGTATAAATATGTATCCTTGCACAACTTTGATGGGTTGTCGAAAAACAAATCCAAAATATACGTGACAAATGTTCAGTGTTGTTCAGGTTCAATGTATACGTACATGTACAGTATGATGGTCAAAAATTAGGATAGTGATGTGTTGTCATGGTGATATGGATTAATAAGGGTGGATTCAGTCAATGGTGGAGCCCGGGGGGGGGGGGGGGGGGGGGACAGCAAGGCGGCCATGCCTCCCCCCCCCAAAAAAATGAACGCAAAAAGGCAGCCACTGTGTACAGCATTATAAAATTGTTCTACCATACACCAATGCCATAAAGAGTCCTAGTAGTGCCTTCCCCCCCCCCCCCCCTTGCTTTTCATTTTAAATTCACTTGTTCGGAGAACCAAAAAAAATCAACAAAATGTTCTTCTGCCGTTGGATTCAGTGGGTTAATCATTCAGATACAAAGGTACATTGTACATTGTATATGATGTACATTACAGAGCCAGCAGCATTTGCAAATTCCTGTACGTGCTGTACGTGTACATCATATCATTATGATTGGACCATTATTGTGGATGGAATGCAAACAACAATGCTGTCAGTGTGATTAATTCATTAATTAAAGTAGGAATATCAGTAACGTATTGATAATATAGATTAGGCCGGGTGATTGGATTGAAAGAGGGAAGTTGTCATGCATGCCTGTTGAGCGCGATAAAAGCATTCAGGTTTGTTGACTTTGTTCATGTGCAGTGGACCTACTCAGTGCTGGCTCATCTTGTGTACCAGTTTACACAAGACAAATCTCGCGGTTGACATGGGGGTACGTTGACCCAGGGTTAAAAACATGCAGGTTTCACACTTCACATTTTCAACCCGGCCGCGCCAACCCTGTGTCAACCCTGGGATCGATCTCTCCCCGGGTGGCATGAACTCGACCCTGCCCTAGGCAAGGGTTTTGATTTGCACCCCAGGTTGAACTCTCGTCAGGGTTCAAAACAGTAGTATTAACGAGCTTGCACAAAACAAGTGTGAAACGATGCAGGGGTGAACGCCGGGTTGAAATATCAATAACTCCACCCGGGGCGGCATGGGTTCGCCCGGGGTTGAGTTCAACCCAGGTAGAGAGGCTGTAGTGTGAAAAAGCCTTAAATGAATCATGAATCAAAAATATGGAAATGTGCATAATTAGCATAAAACCAAAAAGCCAACAAAATACATGTACATGTACCCTTGAAAATGGCAAAACAGAAAATTGAAAATAAAGATAAATGGGAGGCAAAGTGTGCATTTGCAAGGATTGTTTAATACACTGTACTCAACAAAGCTAAAAACTCACAGACTGAACTAAAATTACTGACTTTGTTTTTGATTTCTTACTGTGTTTTTTTTCCTCCAACTTCTTACACAACAACTAAAACCATTTAGGTCTACATGTAGAGCCTTTGAAGGTCTGCAGTCATGGCAGTCTCAATTGTAATACGGCAAGATTCATTAGTTTAATTCAGTGACGTACGGTAGGGAGGAACGTGACTCGAATTGAGTGCACAAAATCCTTCCGTAGACTTCGACCACGTGTACCAGACGCCGCACTCGTGGCAGCAGAACTATGCAGACATTATCATGCAGCGCCTCATGATGGTACTCACAGAAGTAGGGCAGACAAGTACCACACTCAACTACTTGGACTAGTAGCTAATTACTTGATTGTGATGGGTAGTGGCACCTGTGTACATGTACAGCACAAGTGCTTCTTACCATTGGATTGCATGCTTTAAAATTAAGTACAATTTGTTTCACAAATCTTTGTTTGGAAAGCTGGCTTCACTTTACACCATGCAGTGTTGTATAACTTCAGAAAATCCTCCTCTGCTGTATAAGCCCCCAATCAAGGGATATTTAGTCCAAATTTTAGCCATGGAAATTAGTTTTGGTTAAAATAAGAGCATTTTAAACTACAGTTTCAAAGTCGCATTTTGAGTACACGAGAACAAAGGAATGTCTCCACAAGGATACCAATTCCAGTATTTTTTGTGTGCGTGTGTACATTCAAATTCTTCAAAATTTTCTTCAATTTCAGAGAAACTGCTCTCAAGTGCACTTTAGCAGTCAAATAGTACTTTAGCTGAAGAAAGGGTTTTATAACACCTCACCCACAGATTCTGTATCTTTATTGGCCGAGAGCAGGTCACATGGCATTCACTATTTTTGCTATCTTGCTGTGCATGGCAAAAAAGTACTATACCCGTAGCAACCAAAGTACTATACCCGTAGCAACCAAAGTACTATACGATGAGAACCGATACATTTCGTGAGGGGGTAGTTTGGAAAGGTGCAAATAAACTTTCAACCCTTTTCGTATTCAATTTGAATGACATTTAATTATTTAGATTACATTAATCAGTTATCGCTTATTCAAGCAGAATCTGTGGGAGTGGTGTTACAAAACAAATATTGACTGCTTATAAATCTCGTGGTGTAGTAAAACTACACGTAGGCTCCTCACTCGGTGATCCATGGAGCATTCTATTTTCCCTCGGCTTCGCCTCGGGACAAATAGAATGCTTCATGGATCACATCAGGAGGCTTACTACACCACTCAAAGCAGTCAATATTCATTGTGATACATACTTAGAAGTTCATTTTCATTTGGACATATATTGACAGGGGTACGTGCCGGTTTTTCTTTTTCGCTTCTTATTGTTCAGCACAATTGGCTGATATGAGATGAGCTGCATTGCGCTTGTTGGAAACCCTGGCATTTGCCAGTTCAATACAAATGAATGTGATGATCAATGACTGGTAGCAGGTGCAGTGCTGCGCTTTTCAATTACATACATGTATCAATTCTAAGATGTCTAATTTCTACATACATCAATTCTAAGACATGCATGTACTATATGCACCGATACGTTTATTGCACCGGTAACAACTGGTGCTGTCCTTCCCCCTGCTTGTTAATTATTAAAGAGAACTGCATGTCTTTTCAAACAAAGAAGCAATGCCGGCAAGATGCTCTGCACTTTTCTCAGTCTTCCATAAACAGTTTTTCTACAAGTGACAAGAAATGAAAACAATACAATTTCTTCACATTGCGCATACATTATGGGAACTAGATTTTCCTAACTTTTAAATGTATACCTTAGAGAGTTTAGAGCTTCTGATTGGTCGAGACTTGATCATGTGGGGTATTTACATACATGTGATATAGACAGGCTTCAATAACAAGCGAAAATGGCCCCTAAACCAGCATTGATCCAGCGTCATGTCAGCCAATGATTGGCCAAACACCCAACAGTCCTGCCGAAGGATGGTTCCTGGCAAAAAGGGCCTAAGGGGTTAGGGTTCATCTTGCTTAGATGATTTTTATTGTGAGTTATTTGTATTTGTATGGTTAATTATTTTAAGATTTATAGTTGTTTTAATGCTTCTTTTCCAGCTTTTTCATATAGAATGCCTGAGTCAGAGTCTCCACCGTAGCGTTGTAATTGATTGTGAGTGATCATGAACTCCGTATCGGTATGGGACGCCATGGCCAGTGGCTCGACGGCCGTAGCCAGACCAATCCGGACGCTGGACCCTAGACCACCGTATGCAGTGGACAGACCCAGACCACAGTCAGGTAATTGTTAACTCTGTGACTATATTCATGATATTGAACGCTTGAACCAAAAGATTGATTCATGAGCTTAGGTCAATACGCGCAGGAGGGGGTCATATATGCATAGAAGAGGATCGACCGTTGGACTAGTAGTGGCAATTTTCTATGTGTGACGTTTCCTTCCACCACGTTTTCTGCATTGAGTCCATTTTTGTCTTGGCTTTGCAGATGTCCAATGACTTCAGAACATGCCACACATACATGTATTACTGGGCAGTTTGCTGGTTTCATCACCAGGGTTTTGGTCTGAGGTTTCAGATCTCGGAACATCAAAAGTAATGCCGTTGATATACATGTAGGCATCGGTTCGTCAAAAAAAAAAGAAGGTGTGACGGCAGCCACCTTTAGTTGGTCACAAGCCGGTCAAAGTCGATATGCCGGGTAACTCCCATAATCATGGAGTTGCCCATACAACTATGACAACTGTATTGAAGAAAGGAAAATTAAACCAGGGATGAAGGCGGTGAAATTACTGGACGATTCAGACTTTGGACATTTCATGTGCTCAATCAAATTTGTTCGGCATCGGTGCGTGCTACCTGTTAGCAAGTGCACACACACTGTACGACAGCTCAAAATTGATCATGCTACATACATGTACATGTATAGTGGTACATGTACAAATGTAGTTCATTTTTGTGGGAGCAGATTTTGCATCGAATCCTTTGCAGACTGACTAATGAGGTAACTAAAACTTTGACCAGCAAGTGCTCAGTTGCAATCATTGACACACCCACATGACCCATGACAAGTGACAAATTGCAGCTGTGGATGATGAGTTGTGATCTATGGCTGTACCTAATTGGAGAAATGCACTTTTGTATAGTGTACGACCATGGGCGTCGCCAGGATTTTTTCCAGAGGGGGGCAAAACATATCTTTTCCAAATTTTTTTTGTATTTCTCAACATATTCTCGATTTATCATTTTTAGATGGGGGCAGGGACATTTTGCCCCTCCCCCACCCATTAAATTTACACCACAATGACTTCACGCCTCTTTTCCTTTCCTTTTCCTTTTTTTTTTTCTTTTTTTGTTTGTTTTTGCTTTTCCAGGGGGGAGCAAGTGCCCCCCCTTGCCCCCCCCCCCCTCAGGACGCCCATGTGTACGACTGCTACATTAGGACTGTAGGTGTATAGTGGGGAAGTGTTTCTCGTGTCATTTTAGCCACTTACATTTGTGATAGAATGACTTCTCAGGAAAATGGACTTTGTACGGTAGCAACACTGAAATGCATCTTTGAATGTCTTTTTGTCATAATGGTACGTATCAAATGTAGCCCCCCCCCCAATCTATTATTAAATGTAAACATCTTTAAAACACACATATGTACAAAACAAGCACAGAACACCAGGAGAGATGGTCCCCCCCCCCCAAAAAAAAAGGGGAGAAAACAAATAAGAAACATGTGACATGTATTTAAGTGAGAGGTTTGCGGTAACACCATGTGGAAATAGGCCTATCTCTTCTGCGAGTATGTGTGGTTCTGAAGAGAAACTGTTGGGTTAAAGGGAATGTACATCATTGGCTTTTGCTGTAATTTTCAGAATTGAACTATTTGATGGGTTAGTACATTTTGTATAATAGACCAAATATTGTTGCACTGACATGTTTGAAGTTTTGTGTTCGAAAATGCTGGAAAACCAAGAAAAACAAAAATGTTCAAGCGGTCTGGTTCCCTGGCTCCACTTCAGTTGAAATAGATCAATATTTATAGATGCCAGAAAATTGTAAGATGAGGGAACCAGTCTAGCTGGCCTGCACCCGTTCATGAACATGTAACCAATAGCAAACAAAATTTGGACTTAAAAAATGGTAAATCTGGCTCAGTAGTTAAAAAATAGTTGGGTTTTTCCAACGGTGGCCGGCCAACCACAAAAATACTATTTTCTTGAAAATGACTTAATGCCATAATTTTACAGGATGCTTTATACTGTCATTTACCAACATCCTAGTAAAGTATTTCGTAAAAACTTGGTAGTTTTATTTTTCGATGTTTGTAAATGTTGTATATTCCCTTTAACTTGACGTTTCGAACAGTATGCTCTGTTCATTTTCTCCTGATGACGAACAGAGCATACTGTTCCAAACGTCGAGTTAACCCAACAGGTTGTCTTCAGAACCACACATACTCAAAAAAGGGATATTTCCACATGGTGTTACCGCAAACCTCTCACTTATTGATCTTTCCACCATGCAAACCTTCATGTCTCATGTGACATGTAATTTATTCTCCCAACGTTGCTACTCAGAGACAAAGGAGTGAAATCGTGAAAAGTTGCCGACAAAAATATTGAATACAAAGTTAATATTTAAAAATACTAGTGTACACAGTATAGGCACTGGATGATTGACACCAGCACATTGATCATGTTAATTGTTGACCCATTTTTTGTTGTTGACATTTGAGGTGGGACTGTTTTCCAATTCAATAAGTGAAACATTCTGGCGCCACTGTCATATGAAAATCAGACTCGTATGAAAATCGGACTCTTTTTCCCTTTTATTGGTTAAATCCTCTCACGAGACCGGTCCCCCTCCTAATTATCTATGCATGAGCATGCGCAATATCACCAATGAGTCCGTATTTCATAAAACCTAAATTCATGCTACACCGCGTTGTCCAACTGAGAAGTGAAATTGTGGATTTTGTTCTTTAGTTTCTAAGCCATCTGTCAGTTGAAGTGTACGTTTATGTTTAATCTCACAGAAATGGGTTGAACTCATAGAGCTATATTAAATTACTAGAGCGCTAACTTCGTGTACAAAGTAATGCCTGCTGGGCGCATCCATGTTTGTGCACAAACCTATGGAGACCTAGAAATTTTGTACGGCTTTTGTACGGCTATATATGTATATCTGCGTTTGTATTCCATACCGGTGCGTTATCGAAGCCAATACGCCCAAAACTGAAACGCACGATCAGCAAATGAGCGTTTCATTTTGCTCTACGCAAACAGCGCAACGCGTGCGCGTATTCGCGGCAGATGCTTTTTGCCGTCAATGATGCGCTTAAGTTGTTTGCGTTAACTTTCAAAATTCAATCCATCTAATTTCATTATGTTCTACAAACACGCACATGAATTTAAAATGTCTGCGCCCAGGACGGCTTCAAAGCATCCCCTCGCGCAGAATGACGAGTTAGCGCTCTTGTAATTTAAATAGCTCTATGGTTGAACTATACCCTATTAAAGATGAGCTTCTTGGGTTGCAGAGTTTACCTTTCAGTGACTTTTCTCATTGTACGATACCCAGATCATTGTCTAAATTGGGCAAGCTCTGTGACTGTATGATATGGGTCAGTCTATACATTTGGGATCCACTTCTTTCCCTGTCGCTGTTACATCTGACATCTATGATTTTGTAATTCTGATGCACTCCTTAATGTAGTCTTCCACAAGAGTGAGGCAAACGACCTACCCAACAAATACAAATTAATTTTTGAAGTTGTTTTTTATCCCCCTGGCTTTCAAGCCAAACAGGGGGATATTGCGTATTCCTAGGCATGTCTGCGTGTGTGTGAGAGTGTGTGTTCCATTTCACTGTAAAGCTCAGTCATCAATCTCAACCAAACTTGAAAGGTGGTCTGTGGAGGGAAGGCTAACGTCAAAACAATCTTTCCAATATGGATATTTACGAGGTCTCTGGAGTCTTTCCAATATGGATATTTACGAGGTCTCTGGAGAGATACATGTACTCATCACTCTAACATACACTGTGTGTTAGTCCAGTGTCTCACTGAAACTCCCCATTCAACCCAAACTCCCCATTCAACTTAAAACTGATACCTACTGGATGGACTGCCGATTGTCCTTTAAACTGCCTGTTTACAAACTGCCAGCATGCCAGGGGGATCGCGCTAGTGTTACTTGCAGTATTTTTATCACACTTGAATAGCAAATTACAAAGTTCGGAGGTAACACGGACAGCAGAAATGTCACGCTTTAGACCCTGAATTATATGGAATACCCTTACTCAAAATTTGTACAAAACAAGTACAACCTTGTACATACATGAACATGTACACTGTTTGAAAACTCCAAACCATAGAGTTAACAATGCCACAGTGATCTAATGGCCTTGTTATTGTTTAAAATAAATTTGAATTAATTTTGTGTCGGGGAGATGTACCGGTAACTTTGCATACTTCTTCTTAAGCTCTCAGATAGTACTGAGTATACAGTGCTATAAATGTTTGTCGTTGATCATAACATGCATGACATGCAGTGATAAAAAAATGCATAAAAGTATTATTAAAATCCCAATAGGGCCTAATAAAAACTGTTATTAAATCTGTTATAATTGATTTTTCTCTTTTTTGGGGGTTTTGTTTGTCTTTGCAGCGCCAATCCGTAAGCCGGTATCACCTCCCAAGCCCTTATGGCGGGATTCTCGCTCAGACTCCATCCCCCACAAGCAGCGACGCTTCACCACATCCCTCAGGAGCAGCAGTGCCAATCAGGACTCTTACGTCAGCAAGCGAGCTCCTTTTGCTGGTCAGTTTTGGGGGAGCAAGTTATAGAATCAAGTTTAGGCCTAGCGTCCCTATTCATTTACTCAGCACACTTAGGCCGAGGAGATTTATCTCTCTTCACACAAAAAAACCCAGATTAATTGTTCTTAACCACAAGCCATTAAGTAAGATTTGAGGCTTTGCATGGTGGAGATACTAAATAATGAAAGGTTTGCGAAAACACCATGTGTGAATAATTTCTCAACTAAGAGAATGGTTCTGAAAAGAACCAGAGGTATAAACTTGACGTTCCGGTCAGTATGCTCTGACCGTCTTCAGGAGCCATTAATCAATGCATTTTATTCGTTTCCAATAATATAATGTACATGTTAAAAATCCAGAAACCAGTGTTCCAAACCTACATGTAACCGGGTGACGTTTCAGCTGCGTTGATAATACATTTTCAAAAAAACATTGAAAAGCCATGCACAACCTTTTAAACACGACAAAAATAGTGGACTAGACTAGTCCAACCGTCCTTTGTTCAAGCTAAGTTAGTTAAACTATGGTGCACTAGCTGTAGAACTTGCTCTATAATTGCACTTTTCCAAACAACGATATTCCTTTATGACAAGCAGTTAAGGGCTGTCCCAACTATACCGAATATTTGAATATTCGATCATCAACCGAATATTCAAATAGCTTTTTGCCGGTTTAAATATTCAAAAGAGAAAACTATGCACTTGCACACTTGACTATGGAGTCATGTTTAATAATTGCATTTTTATTGTCAGATGATACTTTCTGTCAGGCCGTAACTTTCTTTTTGACAACTATTTATTGGTCTGGGTAAAGTCCACGCTCAGTTATACAGTACAAGTTTACTGCAATTGCAAAACACTCTGGCGCCCATAATAGCCATCACTGCATGAATTTGTAACTGGCGTACTTTGTATGCAACTTTTGACCAGAGAGGAAGGCAACTTCAGCCGGCGTGTAACTTAATTGGCAAGTTTCAAATATTCAAATATTTAGTCAAGTGCTGTTTAGAATAATCGAATACAAACTTATTCGAAAACAGACAGCACAACAAGCAGTTACCGGTACCACTACCATCATTTTCCCCATTACTTTGTACACTCTTCGTCACTTCGTGAAAAAATAAAACGTTGTGAGGAATTGTTACATTTGCGCGACATGCGTCACTGCAGCGTTTTTTCTTTATGGACATCATTCGCAGCGCGGGCGTCCACTCCCATCCATACGCGTGTGTTGAGAAATACATTATCCCTCTGGCCCTGCTAAGCTTGTGTCACTTCGTGGAAACAGAAAAACACGCAAGCTATTTATAAACAAAAAAAAATTACGATAATTACAAAAGTAAACAATATTTCGCTTTGAAACTTGGTCAAATTGTTCTTTTTGTCAAGTGCAATAAATTGGCCAGCAAAACTCAACCTCAAAAAAGTTATCAATTTTCCAGGTTTTTGTCACTTAGTGAAAACATCGTTGATTTGTACCAAGTTTAAGACCATAAACAAGTTCTTTTCAAATGTTCAATTCATCTCATGATCATAACTCTCTCTGTATTTTTTCACAGCCAAGAGACTCCACGCACTCAATGTGGAGAGACAGATGATGACTGGCACGTACCCCCGAGTGGAGAACGGTCGGACGGTAGCAGCACCAGAGTATGACCCCTTTGCTGACCCTCATCTCACAGATTACTTTGCCAGGAAGTTCTCAATTGGTTTACCTAGACCACCGTCAGGGGTAGGTTTTGTTTCAGAAACCGTATGCCGCAAATTAAAGTAGAGTTCTATACAAAGTAGTTGTGGCCAAAAAAAAAGTCTCCGGTTTCTGGTATGCGCGCGCGTCGCTGTAGCCATGCGCTTTGGAAAAATGAAAAAGTTTTTTTTTCAATGAAAGATGATGTCTCAAAACTGCCAAACTCACTGGTTTGACTGGAATCCTGCTGTTGCACAATTTTAATGTGTTTTTAGATTGGGTTATGGTCGAGAATAAGCTTTATGTGGCCTCTCTGGACTACCATATATTTGCACTAAGTTTAGTCGGGCACCATTTGCAGTCATCAGCCGACATTTGAAGCAAAAAAATTAGGTAAAAAAAAAAAAAGCCGCGTCGCCGCATCACTTTTTGGGCAAGTTCCATACCAGAAACCGGAGACTTTTTTTTGTTAGCCTGTACACATTATGATGTGTTTTTTGAGATGTTACTGAGTAGTATATTCTGCCTATTCTCATAAGGCCAAGTGAAAAAATAAACCAGTTTCTCGTTGTTCCTCCCCCCCCCCCCCTCCAAATAACTATTCATTAATACCTGCGACAGTTGTCCCATTCTTATTAGTGGAGAGCCTGTCACATGGGTTGTATTAAACGCTTGTAAAACTGCTGTATTCTGCGCCACATAGCACGGTATGCACCCCACATGCTTCAATCTCCTTATAAGGAGATATTAAGCACTATGCTACGAGGCACATACCATAGACATGGCCAGAGGGGTATTTCACAAAACATAAAAGCAAAAATTGTTGAACAAATCGTTGGAATTTTGTCAATTTTGGAGTTGTTTTGACTTTTTGCCTGAAAATCTATTGATGACTAGGCATAAATATGAGCTTGGCTGGTTTTAAACGGAGCGCTGTGGTCCAATGGTTTCAGTGTTCGACTCACTTGCTGCGGTATGTGGGTTCGAACCAGGACTGGGAACATGGTGCTTGTGTTCTTGGGCAAGACACTTTACTACAATTGCCTCTCTCCACCCAGGAGTATAAATGGGTACCTGTGAAGGTAGAGACCAGACTGCGCTGATCTTGAGCTGCTGCAGAAACTGGTCTCATGCATGGGCGTCGCGAGGGGGGGGGGGGGGGCAAGGGGGGCGCTTGCCCCCTCCCCCCCCCCCCCCTGGAAAAGCACAAAAAAAAAAAAAAAAAAGAGGTGCGAAATCATAGTGGTGTAAATTTAATGAGTTGGGGGGGGGGGGCAAAATGTCCCTGCCCCCCCTCTAAAACTGAGAAATCGAGAATATGTTGAGAAATACAGGAATTTTTTGGGAAAAATATGTTTTGCCCCCCTCTAGAAAAAATCCTGGCGACGCCCATGGTCTCATGGCCTGATGAACAGGGGTAATAATTGTGAAGCGCTTTGAGACCTTTGGTATAAAGCGCTTTATAAGCACTATATATTATTATTATTATTATTATTAAACAGGTACATTTAAAACTTACTAGCGGTCTGGTCGTGTATAATGTCCTTCACCTTAGGCTCGGACCATTATCCGCGACTAATCCCCTAGCTGGTTTTAAACGTACTATTTGAAAACCGGCCAAGCTTTTATTTATTCCATTATCAAACAACATTTGGTCATAAAAAAAGTTATCATGTATGTTGCTACCTTGCTTATTTATCCTTCCTCCCCATAATATTTTTTCACAAAGGCAAAGAGACGTCCAGCTAGCGCCAATGGTCGGACCAGCAGCACATGGAACGGCGGCCGGCATTCCGCAGCATCAGAATGCATGTACAGGGTAACTGTGAAAACCGGCGACAAGAAAAACTGTGGCACTGCGGCAAATGTAAGCCATCTGAGTGTTGGTCTTTCTGTCTGTCTGTCTGTCCGTAGGGCTGTACATTCAGAGCCAATTTCAAGCAGCTACAGGGTACAACGTTGAGAAGGATTTGAAAACAGAATGTCCCACTGAACCATTTAGCCAGTTAGGACTCTTTAACATTATACTACTCTGTACTTGCTCCTTGATAAATTTATCAAACCTTAGAGTGCTAGGGCGGGTTGGGGCATTACAAGGAGTAACAGGCAGGGCGCATTTTGGTGGTACAAGAGTAAAGAGTTAACCAAAAAAGGGATGAAGAATGGATCCAGTTGTTGACTGACAATACCTAAATTACAAGTTAAAGCTATAGTCCATCATTTGCAGCCATCTGAAAAGTAACTGGCGTAATTATTGTTGAAAAACAAACTTGGTTGAAAGATAGTAAGGGAACTAAACTCCCTGTGAAATTATTCCTTCTGGGAAGCTGTCATTTTGAAGTAATCAACGAAAAAAGGCATTTCCAACGGTGATTCTTAAGAAGCACCGTAGGAAAATTTAAATTAGTAGTTCGTTTTGTTATTCAGCGCAGCGCACAAGTATTGGAATGACGCACACGCGCGCGCGGTTGTTATAATTCGTCGGATCAGTGCGCTACGTCGCATATGGCTGCAATTCAAAACAATTCAAAACATGATTCAGCAACTTTTGATTTAAAATTGAGATCTCAGAATGCTGTTTTTCTCGATATGTACAGCTGAAGCTTAGCTGAAACTTCATCAGGTTAGTTGTTCAGTATCCTTCATTAGATTTTGAACCCTTTTGTTGCTTCAAACGAACAAAATGCACAAATTACAAATGATGGACTATAGCTTTAAACTTACAATGTACCTCCTAAAGCATTTCTGCCAACAGAAGGGGAAAGTTTCTCATTGAGGAGGGAAACAGCACATTTGTCTTTAAAAAGGGGTATCCAGAAGTGGGTGGGAAAAGGGACATTTTGACAAATTGCCCCTTCGGATGCCAGTGATATTTAGCTGCGGATAGCAACGCTTCAAGGTCTCATGTCTCTCTGTTAGTCCGTATGTTAGTTAGTTAGTTAGTGCATGTAGTAAGTAACAAACATTGGCATTGATATTGACAAATTGGGGAACCGCCAACATAGGGCTGGTTAGCTTTGGTAGAGCACCAGAATGGTAATCTGCAGGTCGCTGGCTTAAACCTCCGCTCCAGTTAATTTCTTTGTTCAACTTTCAATAATTTTAATGGCCATTTCGATGGTTCTTTCTTGCCATTTTATCATTCTACTCCTTGACAAATTCTATTTCTCTTATATATATTGAGAACGTAAAAAATATGTACAAACGTGATAGCTGAGTTTCTTTTTTTGCTCACACAGGTCTTCATTCAGCTGAAGGGCAGCAAGGGCAAGACAGCCAAGCGGAAACTCAGCAAGAAATCCGCCAAGACTCAGTCAGGCTTCATGAAGATCAAGTACAGCCGCAACACTTCCAAGGTCTTCAAACTCAAGATGCAGGACGTCGGGGAGCTACAGACTTTAACGGTTGAGGTGAGGTGTTGCAATGCACAATATTCATACACGTACATTCCTGTATCATAAATGTATTTACACTACGGAACAATATCATAACCTTGAAATTTGGTGGAGATGTTTGACCATCGTTCGACTGGAAAATTTCTCATTTTTCATAGAAAAATCAACCAGTTGTCCTCACTGCGACAACCCTTTAATTGGTTAAATACGCAGTGATAACAGAATTAAAATAAACAATTTAACGTGGAAGGGAGGATTGTTCTTTACACTGAGTATTTTAGTCAACAAGTGGTCCTATCTCAAATTTGCCCTGGTTTGTCAGATCGAAGAGCAAGTTTTTTTGCACTAACTCTCGTAGCAACATGCAAACACCTCTAGTTAAATGCTGGTCATCACAACATTTTTTGATCCTGGCTCCCTGCAGTGTATAGCCCGGCTATTGGTAGCCAGTGATGCGACCATGCCATGTGGTCTCGTTTATAATATAGTCAACTATAATAGTCCAACCATTCTGTGTATAAAAGGCTAAACGACCTACTGTTATCTAAAGTTGGAACCCAAACTTGGTCCTACCGTTAGAATTGAAAGAGATTAGTTGTGTGAGAGTGTCACACCAGTTCCAATAGGAGACTTTTGAGATATTGGTGGCAGCAAACATACCGGTTCTTTTTCCATTGTTTGCGTCATACAGAGCATGCGCGCTTTAGCTTAAACATGACGTAAACAATTGAAAAGGACAGGTATGTTTGCTGCCACCAACATCTCAAAAGTCTCCCATTGTTGTCGAGGTGTACATCGTTGTAAAATTTCACTTGCCACCCCTACTATAAATAATGAAACCCCCCCAATCTTAACCAATCATCTTCGCGTAAAGTTCCTGCCGGACGCAAGCTAGCCAATCTCGATAAACTGCATTTGCCAGCATTCCAGAATTTCACAGCCCCAAGCGTTGCATCACAGTGTATTGTTATAGCTGGCCGTGGGTTTTGTTCAGGACCGTCCTACAGTGAAAAGCAAGGAAAGGCTGAACAAATTATTTTATTTCTCTCGCAAAATGAGTATTTTCTCATTCTTATATATATACATCTTGCCTTGACCATGTTGACAGCATGACGGCCTAGAGAAGCCGGACAGTTGGTACCTAGAGGAGGTGGAAGTCACCAACCTATCCAGCAAGCAGACGTGGCTGTTCCACTGCGGGCAGTGGCTGTCACTGTTTGAGACAGATTGCCAACTCAGGAGAGTGCTGAAAGCTCTGGATCCCAAGAAACACGGCAAGACAGGTATGGATTGGGCTAGGCTAGCAGCGTTATTTTTTTCCTAGGATGGTTGGGGCCAAGTCATGCATAAGTCAGTTTTCCTTTGAATCATTGCAAGACACTTAGGTTCTCGTTCTCTTTCTTCCCTTAAATATAAATTCTCTCAACGATAAATTTACAGATGAAAATGAGCAGCAGCGACGTGGATTCGAACCAGGGATCTTTGCATCCATAGCACATCTCACTATCCACTAGGCTACTGTATGGTAGCTCGACGATGGCCTTACGTAAAAATGCTTTATGTAACTGGTTGACTTAATAACAACAATGCTCTTGATATCATTGTTCTGTTCTCATGAATAAACATACTTGCCCGATCGAAACTACTGAATTATTCATGACTTGGCCCAAACCGTCCTGGGAATAAAAAATACGCAAAATTACATTCTATCCCTTTATCCGTCACAGAGTATGAAGAAGTCACGGTTACCGTGATGTGAAAGGCGCGAGCAATGATTCCAACTTCAACATCACAATGTTTGCCATGCGGGGTACCAGTAAGACGATGCACTCAAAACTTCCCCTTTTTCTTGTTCACAGAGTATGAAGTGATCATTGTTGCTGGTGACGTGAAACGTGCGGACAGTGATTCCAGCATCTACATTACGTTGTTTGGCACGTGGGGTACCAGTAAGAAGATGCCACTCAAATCTTTCCCTCTTTCTTGTTCACAGAGTATGAAAGTGGTCACGGTTACCAGTGAAGTTAAAGGTGCCGGCAGTGACTCAAGCATCTTCATCACGCTATTTTACAT